GTCCCAATCCCGCTGCACGACGTCGTTCGTGGGAAGGTCCAGAAGCTAGTGTCTAAAGGAGTTATCCGCAAGGTTGAGCGCCCCACAGACTGGTGCGCGGGCATGGTCGTCGTTCCAAAGACACGAGGAGGCTACCGCATCTGCGTAGACCTCACGCGCCTCAACGAAGTCCTACTGAGGGAACGTCACATTTTACCTTCGGTTGAGAACATCATCGGACGTCTCGGGCAATCAAAGGTTTTCTCGAAGCTGGACGACACTGCAAGCTTCCACCAAGTGAGGCTTTCTGAAGAAAGTCAGGAGCTGACGACGTTCATAAAACCGATGGGAAGGTTCTGTTTCCGCAGGCTGGCTTTTGTCATCTGTTCAGCGCCAGAGTACTTCGAGCGTCAGTTGCGTCGCATTTTAGAGGGACTGGAAGGAGTTGTAAGCATGATCGACAACATTCTCGTCTTCGGCGCATCAAAGGGAGAGCACGATCGTCGACTCCAGAAAGTGCTCCAAAGGCTCGACGAGGCAGACGTCAAACTGAACAAGAAGTGCAGCTTCGCTGCCTCAGAAGTCAAGTTTCTCGGAGTGTTGGTCAGCGCGAGAGGAATTAGCCTGAACCCCGGAAATATTGAGGCCCTGCAGAAGTTGCCGATGCCCTCGAACGTTAGCGGTGTACGAAGACTGCTAGGAATGGCGAACCACGAGGGGCGCTTCATCCCACACCTCTCGGACGTCACGGCGCCAATCAGAGAACCGCTGCAACAGCGCAACTCGTGGTACTGGGGACCAAGCCAGCAAGCTCCCTTTGAGAAGCTAAAGAGCATGCTGAGCTCTCATATCTGCTTGGCCTAGTACGACCCGTCCTACCCAACTGTAGTTTCAGCTGATGCAAGCTCTCACGGACTCGGGGCCGTCATGCTTCAAGATCAGCCCTCCGGCAAGAGAGGGGCAGTGGCCTATTTATCAAGGGCTCTCACAAGCACCGAACCTCGCTACAGCCAAACCGAAAAAGAAGCCCTGACCGTAACGTGGGCGGTCGAGCGCCTCGATCAGTTTTTGAGAGGCATCGACTTCCAAGTCGAAACAGATCACCGCCCTCTCGTCACGCTCTTGGGATCTGCGGAGTTGGATCTGATGCTAAATCGAATTCAGCGACTACGCATCCGCCTCATACGCTACCAGTTCGCCGTTCCTTATGTCCCAGGCAAACTTGTAGCTACGGCGGACACCCTCTCAAGGGCGCCGGTGCAGGAACTGGATCAGCACTGCCAACGTGCGTTGGACTCCATAGAACCCTTCGTCGGCGAAGTGGTTTCAGTAGCCACTGATTTCGTGTCATCCCGCCTGGAAGCCCTACGAAAGCACCAAGCGGAAGACGGCATCCGCTCGGGCTTGCAACGCTTCTGCGAAAAGGGGTGGCCAGAACATGTGTCCAGAGCTCCTGTGCATCTACGAGAGTACTGGAAGGAACGTGGGAACGTCACCGTGTGCAATGGCTTATTACTAAAAGACCGCCGCATCTTTATTCCGCGCTCGCTGCGACACGACATACTGCAGCTGATACATGAAGGCCATAAGGGCATTGGACGCTGCAAGGCAAGGGCAAGGGAAGCAGTTTGGTGGCCTGCTCTAAACAGCGAAATAGAGGAACTTGTGACAGCCTGCAAGCGGTGCGCCCAAGCAAGAGTACAACGCTCCGAGCCACTCATCAGCACACGGACTCCCAGTCGTCCGTAGCAAAGAGTCGGTGTGAATTTGTTCGAGCTCGAGGGGAGGCACTACGTGCTCGTCGTGGACTATTATTCCCGCTTCCCAGAGGTCATCAGCTTTACGTCGACGACGTTCAACGTCCGTCGTCGCAGCAGTCAAGAGCTCATTCGCCCGGTTTGGGATTCTCGACGTGCTGGTATCGGACAATAGACCGCAGTTCTCTTCGAGCGAGTTCGCTGAGTTCGCCCAGAGCTACGGTTTCCAGAGCGGAGCGTATGCTGCGGACCATGAAAGAGCTGTTCTACAAGTCAAGGGACCCGCACATGGCCCTCCTGGTGTATCGAGACACCCCTGGAGTGACCGGTTACAGCACGTCCCAACCGCTAATGGGCCGACGGTTGCACACAAAGATACCGAAGATGCCAGAGACGTTGCAGCCGGGGTGGTCATCACGTCGGGACTTCAAAAGGAAAGGCAGAAAGGCCCGAAGACGCCAGCGAAAGGACTTCAATCGCCGTCACGCCGCCCGCCAACTTCGCCTGCTGTCCGTAAGAGACGACGTGTGGGTACAAGACGTGCGGTGCCGAGCAACAGTCCTCAGTCCAGCGAAGCGGCCGCGCTCCTATGTAGGCGAGACCGGGACAGGAGTCCTGCAACGCAACCGCCGGCACCTGGTACCATTCGATGCGTCTCCGGCGGGCTTCGACGCTCCGGATCCCAGCGGTTCGACCAATGCTACTACGGCTCCAGCCAGGCCGGCAATCTTAACGGCAAGAGCAAGTCCGGGTGCAGGAAGCCAACAACAGCCGACCGCAGTTGAGCCTGCACCAACAGCAGCGCCGACGAACTTGACGAACTCCTCTTCAAAATCATCGTCGACGGACACGTCGACGTCGGACAATACGCCGATAAGAGTGACTCGGTCGGGCCGCCAAGTTAGGCGACCGGTACGTCTGGACTTGTAAAATTTAGGAGGGGGGATGTAGTGATGACACGACAGTTTTCACTCGCGTGCCCCGCGGCGACGCGTACTTCCTTCCATGCTAGTGCGCATGCTCGGGGTTATCTTCAGTTCGAGAGAAGTGATAATAAAAAACGGGTGCCGGACTCCGGTGTGGCTGGTCGCTCCTTCCCCGCGAAACAGACCTCACCGCATTTTTAGGTAGTCTTTCGATTCTGGCCATTGAACTCAATAATTGTTGGCATGGCAACGTCTTTCGGAAGTATATTGTCTTGCACGTGCTGGCGTCTGCAGTAGTAATTGTTCTAAAGCAAAAAGCGCTCGTGGCAAAAAATCTAAAACAAAGTTTACCTTGCACGCGCGTTCTTTAAAGCCTTATTATGATTATTTACTTCGAATCTTTTATAAGAGGAAGGCCAGCGCGCACGGGCCGTAGAATTACACTTCCAGTGATCTCGATGCTTGGATAATTTAGAAAAAAGGTGTATTGGGACGCCGTCTGTTTTTTTTTTGTGCTATCAATACCCGGCCGATTGAGTCAAGACGATCTGCTTTCCAAAGAAGTTGCCATGACGCCAATTATCGCGTTTATTCAGGCTTAGGAATGGCAAGGATCCATACTATCTAAAAAATGCGGCGAGGTTATTGCTCATGCTTTGCGAGTTAAGTGAGGGAAGGCAAAGCGAAAGCCTCCTGCACCATTCGTTGCTGACTAACGCGCCCGAGATTGCAGCTACAACGACATATTAGTTTCAAAGCGAGCGGCGCTCACACACCGGGACACCGCCATGTTTCCGCGCATCCCTACCGAGCCCCAGTCCAGAGCCTCCTAGATAAGTGTACAATGCCCGTCAGCTCGTGGCTCCGGCAATGCAAAGGCGGCCGGCCAAAAGTGCGTGTGGTTCCCGCGTGGCGGCGCCAGCTAGGCGTACATGTTGCTGGGGAGAGGTCCTCCTCTCCACAAGCAGTGTGCACTGCTTGTAGAGAGGAGGACGAGACGGCTGAGCACTTGATACTCTACTGTAAAGGGCTTCACCCTATGCCTACCGAAGACAACATAGATTTAATAAAGTCATTGGGTTTTAGAGACAGCGAAGGGAGAGTGGATTTCAAGACTGTAGAGATTACCAAGCAAAGATTAAGTGAATGGTAGCAGAAATCGAGAGAAAACTAGATATTTTTTTATTCACTGATGGCAAGGGCAAAGCGAACTCAATAATTCGTGCGTCTCCGGCGCACCAATTAGCCACCATTCATAGCCTCACTTTCTTTGCACTGCGGAGTGAATATAGATTTCACATTTAAATATTCTAAGCTTAAATGGTAAAACAAAATGGCTAGGTGGCGTAAGCTACCGCGCGATCCAAAGGGCTCAGTCGTATTCATCCATCCATCCATCCTGTTGTGTTGTGCGGTGAAGCCCATGGGCCTTCCCGAAGGGAGCAGAAGATTCGCCGGACGTGCTCGGCGGCCAAATTGCCAAATATCGGCGTGCACGGCGGCAACTAGGTGAGAACCCCTTGAGCCGCTGTGATTGGACTCGAACCCCGGATGAGGAGCAGTATCTGGGTTAGCCGTGCGTAAGTAGGAAAAGCGCAGCGGTATTAATAATTTCGGCCAGCAGGGTTTGCAAGCTCGAACGTCAGAAAAGAGCAAAATTAAGGTCAGGCAAGGCAGTGAAACGTCGGTCGAAAGTTCGGCTTTCTATATTACGCAGTCGCGCTGGTCCAAGGCTTTCCATATAATAAAATTGCATCGTGTCTAAATTTTCAGCATGTTGAATTATGTAAATAAAAAAAAAGACGTCGTGAGCAGTGATAAGCAAGGATCGAACTGTGTCTAAATAAGGGACAGCAGTTCTGCTGAAAGAAGTTTTGCAACAACATTTTGTCTCCCTTTTTTTATAATTGAAGCGTTTCAACGCATTAAAACAAACCCTAGCAACACAAAACATTGCTGCAGTGTTGTGCTATGTTACTGGTGGAACGTGATCGAGCCACGTTGCAGTGACGAGTGCTGGAAATCCGACCAAATTTAAGAGAAAACCGACTTGTAGAAGGTGCTGGAATTATTAGCGGGAGTAAAGGCACACAGTAAACTCATTGGAAACAAATATAATCTTTATACATATATTATATATTTGCGCAGAAAGACCAACACAGACACAAAATCACTAAATGCCAAGGCTTAAAGGACAAATAAAATACATATGAACAGAGTTCCGCTTGACTCGAGGTAGAAAAAAAAAACACTGCTCTAATCTACCTTTGCGTGCAGTCTACCTCACCTTCTGAAACTTCCGAGATAGAGGTTTTTGTGCAAACATCTTAAATCTATCCTACCGGTCTGTGTGACAGAAGGCATAGTTAACAAGGAGCGGTCTGAAGAACTTTGTGCAGACAAGATGGATCAGTTCACGGCGATGAGCCTTGTTGTTCGTCGGGCAGAGCAGCAAAGGAGAGTCATACACTGCTGACAGTGCAAGCTTCACAAGAGTTTCGAGGGGCTGCCAATTCCTGAGGTTGTGCGACAACACATCCGCTGCAAACATCCTGAGGGCATTGAGAAGGTGGGCGAGTTTATCTGAGGGATACAAAAGGCCTCCCCGGTCCAGGTGGTTTGTGATCCCTTGCAGGGCACTGTTTGTCTTCGGCTTTGTAAGAAGAGGTATGCAGAAGAAGCATGAAAAGTGTTCTTGTACAACACGGGCAATGTAGCCCCCAACGTGCGCTGTCACCGACAGCTCGAGGCTTGGCAGGTATTGTACATTGGGATCTGACAGCTTTTCTAAGATTTCCGCTGCGCTCTGTGGAAGTTGGAATGGCGTGGCAGCTGACACTGTTGGTGGTATGCACCGCATTGCTGAAGTCATACCCGATGAGGTCGAGGCAGCATGCGACACATCGCTCTGCTGGGAAGCTGTGATGAGACCAGTTTTCAGGATCTTTGCAATTCCTGAGATTGCAGCTCGAACGCTAAGCTGGTCATTGCACCCTTGAGATCGTCTTAATGAGCCAAACACGAACTCAATGGCGTCGCTGCTGAACTTCCTTGTCAATACAAATCCAAACTCTTCCTTGGTGAGAAGGTGTTGTACACATGCAACTGTCGAGTATGTTGTCAAGAGAAGTGCTTCGTAGGTTTCTGTCGTCAGGAACTGTGATGGGCTTGCCGTGTTCTTGATCTGCTCGAGATAGGCTGGGAATGAAAACTCGAGCCATTCCAGACGAGGGTCGTCTGGGTGATCATACTGGCGCACATCTGGGTAGCGTTGGTGTATGTGTTGTGTGCAGTTACTGGTATCATGCAAAATGAACCAGCGGTACACAGAGTCCATGAAGAAGATGGTTGGTCCTGCGTCCGCATACAGTAGGTCACTCGTGTGGCCAGCTTGTTCCTGGAGGTGCTTGAGCACAGCGGTCACTTCAGGGGAGAAGAGCTGGACTGCTCTCTTGGCATTCATTTTCTCTATGCTGCTAGGGAAAAGATGTTTGCGACTCAGGAACCTGGCTGGCTTGACAGCCGCCTCTCCCTGGAGCTCGTACAACTTCTTGAGGTAGAAGGACTTGATCTCATTGTCCTTTCCAAAGTTGCGTTCCAGGAATTGGGACCGTATATTCTTCAAGATTTGAACATAGTCAAAGCTAAGGAACAGAATCCTCTCCGGGTCATTTGAGTGCAAGATATGGTGTGTAAGGAGTCCCCCACAAAGCTGCTTCATTGCATTGACATTCACTCGGTGATTGTCAGTTACAATACGGAGTACTTTGAAGCCAACGTCTTCACCTCGCCCAAGACATGAAGCAGAAGCTTGGCCAGTTCGGTCCCTCTTAACCCTTTGGTAAAAAAGTAGGCAACAGGGATCCGGTATGGAATGCTGAGCCCATTCATGAGAAAGCACAGCAGCGAATTTGCCAGGATGGGCTGCTTGGTCTTTTCAGTCAATGGTCCCAGGTCCACTTGGCCCACAAAGACATCCTGCTGCTTGTTGTACTGCAAGCTCCGTTTGATCTGCATTTCATCAATAATGAGAGAGCATGTCCTTGATTGTGTGTTTGCCAGGTTGTGCAGTTCTGTTTGAAGCCGAGCCTTCGCCAAGTCGCTGAAGCCAGTTTGACCTGAGGCAGCTCCAATGTAGCTTTGCAGAGTGTTCCTGCTGGGAAGTCTAAAAAGCTCTTCAGACCTTATGTGTTCATAGGCCTTTGTAGAAATGTGTCTCAGCAAAATGCAGTGACGGATGGTATGTTCTGTCCACCTTGGGCTTTTCTTGTGGTAGTTCTTTACTTGGTCGACTAGAAACATAGCCGACATGTTCTTTTCCTTTGCTTGTTCACGGATGTTAAGAAAATTTGTGACATCATCTTCTTTCCGCAGGTTTTGCAACTTTTCCAAGTCTTTTTTGTATCTGTAAACAGTGTTCTTGAGTCTCTCCACTTGGTTTCGCAGGGTGGTGACTCGTCGGGTCCATTTACGTTTCTTTACGGTTATTTGTGCTGACATCTTTCGAACGTCTGCCTTTGTTCCTTGATGGGTGAACAGCACTGGCTGTTGGCATGGCCTGCTGTCTGACACTTCTGATGCCTGCCTGTTTTGAGGCTCCAATGTGCTCCCTGTAGATGTCCAGATGATTTGGATTCGCTCAGCACCTTCATTGCACAGAAAGGAGGTCGGTGGAGTGTCCAGTGTAGAGCTTGATGTCGCATCAGTCACTTGCGAACTGCCTGTGTCCAGGGATTGCCTCTTCTTGGGAACTTCTGATGAATATGGAGTGCTGCACTTCCTTCTCATAGCGTCCTTCATCTTGGTTATATTTGAAGGCGGCATGCTCCAAAAGGTGTTTGGGATAGCGCCCTTCTTCAGCTCCCGGCGTTTGCCCTCAACATAGTCAGATGGCACAAAGTGCCGACTGCAAACCATGGAGTAGGTTGATGGCAGTTAGTCATCTCTCTTGATTGCTTGTAGCCAGCTCGCTCGTTCATCCGGGTCTGATGGTATCTCGTGGAGTGCGAAGTTCCTTTCCTGACCTGGTTTCCGTCTGCTTGAACCACAATGTGGTATGCAGCAGGTCATGCCTGAAATAGGACGTCCAGATTAGGGCCGTACCATCCTCTTCTCTTCCTTATTTGAATATAATAGTGATCACTTGTGTATCTGCAATTAAATGCTGTGTCATCTTCTGTGTGTAACATTCTTTACATATGTGAACTTCGACTGATAAACTAAGCGCATTGTCGTAAAAGGAGTATGCTCAGTGCTTATTTGTAACATATTTGGGGTTCTGCGTATTGGATTTCATTTCTGAGCAAAATGCATGCAGAGTTTTTCGAAGCTTTAGTTTGTGGTACATAAAATTCAGAGTGGCTTTTCTAGCCGAAGTGAATGAAAGGTAGAAAGCAGCAGTTGCCAAATTTAGTAAAGGAGCCTTTTCATGTGTGAAACATTCGACTTTGGTTGTAGGGAGGCTAGCTTATTTTTATTATAAAAGACTAAACAGCAATTTTGTGACACCTAAAATCGGAAATTGACACTAAAAACGAGGTGAATCGTAAGCTGGCTCGCAAACCACGGTGATATAAAGGCCTGTTAGGTTTATTAAAGCTGGCAGACCTAAACAATTTCGAGTTTTTACGACAAATCTGAATTGACAAAATTTATAAATAACAAAATTTTTTATCGGCAAGTGTTTTCTGGTTCTTATTGCCTTTATTCGAAAACGCAGAACCTATTACAGGTTTAAAGGGACACTGACAGTGTATTTATGCTTGCCAAGGTTTTTATTTGTACATTACATATGAGAGCCCAACTACCCGGAGAACGATTCGCCGCTCAAAATTTGTTTTCTTTCTGATCGAGAACTGGCCGGTTTGAGTCGCGCTTACTCTCTTCTGTGCGGCCATGTGCCGTTTTTTATGGTTTATACACAACCACCAAAGATCAGAGTCGTACGTGATCGAAGGCAGGCACACGATATTAGAAATGGAAAAGACATATGCTGCCCATTATTTGTGGCTTCTAAAAAGCTGCAAATACGTTGTTTTTGGGGGAAAGAAGTATCACAGCCACCTCTTCTCCTCTTTCTATATTTTTTCTTCCTCCCCAGTCCATTAAAACTTGTTGGCCTAGTTGGTTCCTGATGCAGTCTAGTAGTGTTTGCGCGACAGAAGGAAGTAGAGGGGCTTGTCCGTGTCTACTCACTTATTGTCCCTTGTGTCGCGCAAAAACTTCTAGACTCCCCAGTCCAGTTTCAGTTTCAATTTAAAGCAGTTGCGTTTTTTTTTTTTTTTTTACTTTATTAAAAATATACATGACGCTGTAGCAACATATTGATTCGGTAGTCCTCTGATACCATAATAAATCGCCTAACAAAAAAAAAACAATTTGGGGGTGTCAGTGTTCTTTTGTTTTAGAATGGTTTATTTAACACCACTTGCGAAGTACACAAATGTTTGTGAATAAATGCTTCGAAACTCAAGCTGCATTTTCTCAGTTGATTTTTCAGAATGGTAACGTGTTAGCTATTGGACCACTTCCTTAAACTATCTCCCAGGAATTTGTTTTTCGTCACGTATAGGTGTCTGTAGTCATATATATTAGCAAGTATGCTAGCGCTAAATGACGCCGATTTATTTCAATATGATGACCTGCCTATGGAGATACTTTGTAAATGATGCCTAGCACATACCTGTGCTGTTATATGTACTATTTTCGCTCCAAACAGGCTTCTAAAAATACGAAATGTCACCACATCTGTAATAAAGCTAGATTAACCCTCATACTGATATGTGGTCTACGTGTCAGATGAGACCTAAATAAATCGCAAAAAATTCGGATTTGCGAGCTACAACACTAATTTATCACGCAAGTTTGGCTAGGTGGTGAATTTATTTACTTACAATATCAAGAAAAATACTTCCCTCAGTCAAAAGTTACAAGGTAAAATCAATAAATTCCCACGTATCTCGATCGAAAAAAAGAAAAAAAAGAAACCGTGGTTGTACGCCATTGGGGTGCTTGATTTAACACAAGCGTGGACGGGACAGCCATGATATCGTCCCCCGTTTTTGTCTATCAAACGCCCCAGTGGCCCACAAGATTGTTTTCTAGCTTTAAGAGTAAAATTAAGGCTTCACCTTATGTCGGCCCATAGAACTTTGCTTGTTTTTACTTGCAACTTTTGAGTGGGTCAAGTCTTTCCTTTTTTATTATCAGAAATAACATCCACTACCTACCCGAACTTGTGCGGGCAATTACACTGTCGTAGCTTGCAAATCCGATTTTTTAAAGCTTTATCTAGGTCTCGTCTGACATCTGGACCACGTCTCGTCTGACATCTGGACCACGTACGCTGTATAAATTTCGGTAATGTACGACGCGCAAGAAAATGATTTCTTTTTTTATGTGCTACTGGCAGCTGATGAAGGCAGGCGAGACATAGACATGAAACCGATATAAGACATAAGGTGTTTTGACAAGGGGAGAGAATTGCAGATTTTATATTTTCTCAAGATCCGAGCTGGTATGTGGAATTTTAAAATGACAGTTGGACCACCAAAATATAGCATTCCGCAGTTCTCCTATACAGGCGTGCTATAAAATTATTTGAGGCATACGCTACTTCTCTGGAAAATTGTTTGACGGAATATTAGGACGTTTTCACGTCCAGAATGCTCTGTTTTGGGGTCGCGCATGCAGTTGCGCCACTAATTACCGGGCTTGTGAGAGCACTAAATAGTAGCTTCGCGGTGATTATTTGCGTTCATGTTCATTACATTATTTAGATTTATTCTGTCACTCACCTGCTAAGAGTCGTTGCACGCTGTTTCCGTGCGCGCCCGAGAAAGCGCCGAAATTCCGTTTTAGCAGACGAAGTGTTCCCCGGTCGCGCCACACCAGCGCCTCCTGGCTACACTTACCTTGGTTTAGCACAAAAGTCGTTTGATGGCGCCACTTACCCGGACACGGCACGTGTACCGCTCTCAAAGCGGAGCTGACAGGCATCGTACACTTATCTAGGAGGTTCTGCCCAGTCACATGATTTCAAAATCCCTCTCCTAGGTACTGCGGCTAACTTTATCCGCGGTTGGTGCTTCCTGCAAACAGGCCCTGTTCTTCTCTGTGGCTTGCACTAGAGTCACTGAATGTTGCCAGACCACCGAAACTCCCAATCTTCGTTTCAGAACCGAGTCGCGGCGAAGCAGTCGTGATCCCCAATATGGCGCTGCCCTGTGCGGTGCGGTGGTTCTAATGTGAGCTAATCAATCCAAGTTCCTGGGGCCGCTTGTTCGAAAGAGTTGAGACAGAACTTGAGACAGTCTGAGCCACTCGTCTGAGCCAACGTGAGCCACTTGCTCGAAACAAAACTAAGTCCTGACTTGAGACTGAAACCGAGTCTCTGACTCAACTTGTGTCTCAAGCTGTGAGACAGCCCGTTAGCAAATTAGCTGGTGGCCGATTTAAGACCCAAACTGAGACCCAAACGGAGACCCAAACTGAGACAGTCTCAGTGGTTAGCCACTTGCTCGAAAGGAAACTTAGTCTGGACTTGAGACCAAAACCGAGTCTCTGACTCAATTCTAGTCTCATATCGTGAGACAGCCACGGAGAAGGCTCACTGGCGGTCTCAGAGTAAACAAAATGTCGGACGTGGCCACAAGACACCGGCTCCAAACAATCTTTGCCGCATGAATGCACTCCGCGGCACCGTCGGACCGGTCGGACCGTGTTTTCCAGGACCGATTTCGCCCCTTCGACGTTTCTGACGAGGTTTCGGTTTCGCCGCGATGGCAACATGCGCATCACCGGAGTCTTGGAGGTAAGAAAACAGTCTTATTTCTAACGTTCCTCTTCAACTATGTGTTACATTTATTACGCGGCCAGCTGCGAAGTAATTTTGGAGCAATCGACACTTTTGTTTTCGTCAGTTCTGTTTTCGTCAGTTCGTCAGTTCAGCTCTTCTGAGCAACATGCAGCGCCGTCATTGCGTCCTCAAAACGTTGTGTAGTGGTCTTTCCCCAAGCTCTCTCTATTTTTTATTGTATTTGGTGTGGCACGGTCGTATCACGGCGAGTTTCTCATTACGAAAACAGTTTTGAAATAACGAGTTTCACAACTTGTCAGTGGAAACAGCTGGTGGATACTTGAGTGAGTTTTGAAGGGGAGCAGACTCTTCAAAACGGTAGCGAATGACATGTATTGATCATATATCGCTGCAAGCTTCGTTCTTTTGAGGACTATGTCGGCAATGGAAACTGCTATAGTATTCAACTGACGGTGTAAACCACGTTTCCTCCTTCGGGTGGTCAACAGCAGCGGAACTCCCCGAACTGCAGCAGAAGTTTTACGCCATGGGCGGCTTTCCGGGCGTCGTGGGAGTCATCAACGGCACCCACGTTCGGATCCAAGGGCCGCCGTGCACGAGGAACTGTTCGTGAACAAGCACTACGGTCACTCCATCAACGTGCAGCTGATTGTGGACGCGCGCTCGAGGAACCTGAATGTGG